AAGCCACACTGAATAAATATATCAAAGGACTCTCCACAGACAGAAACAGAGGATGGTATCAGGAAGCCAACTAAAGAATCCTTATATCAAGAAAGCCATTTTCTTCCACAATGTCCTGTGCCGAGACTGTATCATGGAGACAAAGCAACTGATCGACCACTGATATTTTCAGGCAAGATTCCAAAGGAGTATTGCCTCCTTTAGAATGTAATGTATGTACCTATGATGTATAAGCAAGACAAAACAAGTACACAGCCATGTTAGTGGCTCTGAAGGTCTTGAATTTACCAAATGTCATGAAAATCCATTCAATAGTTAGATATGTTTTTCTAAACCATAAAATGGCGGCCAAAAGTCTTTGCTTGCCCAGATCATTTTCTAATCCAATTATTTTCAGATTATATTTTTGCATTTCATTTGCCTTGTCAATGGGAATGGTTTCATCAATATGGCACTGAGACCAACCTTTGTTTTAAATATTTTCTTAACCATTGCAACACCACAATTGAAATCCCACCATCTCCATTGTGTTGCGTGGGCAGAAACCTCAAAATCTGGGAAAACAAGGCAGCAATTTCTGTATGAAAAGATGCTACAAGTTTTTTTTCCCTCACTCACTACACCCATGACTCCTTTTCTCCTGTAATCTTGACAGGATGGGTTTATCACCAGCTGTCAGATATTTAATGCAATCATTGTCTTTAATTTTACTGTAATATTTAATAACAAGTGGAGGGCGCAGAACTTGGACAGATGCTTGTATTTCTTAAACACTATCAAACAGTGACCTCAAAAAATGTAAACATTCATCAGTTCTACATTGTAGGAAATGTATCCCTAAAAAGACTGGAAGGCTACATTGACATTACACTTTCATGGAAGGAAAAACAAAACACAATCACTATAACAGAAATGTGATTAAAACAACCTCTTTACAACACAGGGCGTTGGTGGAATAAATACCAGGACTAGGTCTGGTCGTACCTTTGGGACATACCGACGTGCTGGAGCTGTGCCTAGATCAATCTGCGACCATTTCTGTAAGGCCTTGACCACAACAAAACCCGCTGTGTTTAAAATGTCGGACATTCGTGCCTACTGTCCACAAACAAGTGAAATTCATTTAAAAATATTGCACTTTAAAGCAACTAGCCTTCAGTCTGCTGGCAGCACTCACATCAAGGGTGGGAGAAATTCACTAAGTCATCATTCTGTCATTTGCATCTCAGATTCTCTCCTCCTCTCGGAGTCTGCCGCTCAGTTTGTCCAGAACGATGTTGAGCTCCATGTTCTTGTTCAACTTCAGGAAGAAGTCCTTCCTTAATGGATGAATAGTCAGCCAATCAGTAGCCACTTCTGCCAGAAGACGGATGTGTTTCTCCATCTCACCTGTTTGTTGGAGAGGAGGAAGACCCAATGACATTGCAGTTCTTTTCCAAAACGCTATTAGAAGACAGCAACTGGTTTTCTACTAAAAAATAATGTTGAAAGCTACAGTTAAATGCCATTTGCCTCAGCTTCTTCTACTCGTCATCTAGCAGTTAAAAAAATGTAAGTTGGTTCTCAGCTACTCTCATCCAGCTCTGCTGATATTTCTTATTGTTTGAACCAACCTGTACTGAGAGCAGATCTGTAGCTGGCCACCGTCCGGTTACAGGCCACTTCCATAATTAAAGACGATTTCTTCTCTGCAACAAAAACGCTCCGGAGAATCCTGGCCAGCTCGGGAAGCCGTGACATCATCAGCAGGCGGTCCTCTTGTGTGGGGTTTCGTGTCATGGCTGCCTGGAGCTTCTGGGCCTCTTTTGCACGAATCTGAAACACCAACAAAACAACACATGGATTAATCTCAACATGGTTTTCTGGGTGGGCAAAGGCCAATTCAAGCAGGCTAATAAAACACATCAAGTCTAGTTCAAACTGCCCACCCCAGCACTAATATACCCCGCCCTCCTCCCGGTCCACCTACTCTGTCCAGCAGTGACTGGGACACTCCTTTCAGGGCAGTTGGGACCTGAGCTGCAGGGGCAGTTGATGGAGTAGACACTTGGGGGACTGTTGGGTTCTGTGGAGATGCAGGCTCTTTTCTCTCTGCAGCTTTATCTTCTGTCTTCTGAGCCAGAGAAATCAAAGCCTTCTCCATCTAAATGCAGGACAAAAGAATAATTCCATTTGATTTAGACAGACCGATGATGAATTAATATATTGAACATTCCAGTCGGCATTATAAAATCAAGTCCGACATTTAAACATTACATTATTCTTAATGGCAGAACATTGACCACTTTAAATGAACACAGTACCTTGGGTGTGATGAGTGAGCGAGCCTTGTCAAGCACCTCCTGAGCTGTGGCCAGTTTGTCAGTGTCAGGAGGCTGAGGCAGCGAGCTAGTTAAGACGGCTGGCATAGTGTCCACATTAAAGCGAGGATGCCAGCGGGTGAGTTTGTTTTCTGGAACAGACACTGGAGGAACTAACAAGGACAGGAAGATCTGCAGACAGAGACAGGGTTCATAAACATTTATACCAATACATTTCCACATCTTTGATGAAAGATTTATGAACATACACTCTGAAAGATCTGTGTAGACATGATTTAAAAAATAAAATCTATGTCACAATGTACCACGTATATGTTAACTAAAATTAAAGACAAACCATGAGTATTGGGGAATATGACCAGAAAAACATGGATTGTATCTTCACATGACTTGAAGGCTGGGCTTTTTGCTCAACAGCCACTGTAGATAGTGGTTTTCCAAAGTTACAGGCAATTTAGCCAGTCACAATTTTGTTGTCAGGAAACCATTAACCGGTGTACAAAATTTTGCCAGAAGAACTAACTTAAAAATAATATTTAAAAATGTAAATTAATAAAAATAACATTGGTGGGATTTTTGTTTGGCGAGGTTCGTTTTCAAATGCCATGGTACTGGGAAACAGGAACGGTGGGCTTTGGGGAGATCACGGCCAGGAGGCTTCACCTCCCCATGTGTGCCTGGCTCAGCAGACAAGGTGGTCCGGCAGCAGCAGCCCACTGTTCCGGCTCCCCAGCATTGGAGAACAGGGCCCCTCTGCTCCTCCAGCAGAGAACGATGTCATCATCACCATGTCTTATGAGTTACTTTTCTAAGTGAAGACCTGGTATTGCCCAAATGTAGCCGCATCTCAGGTCTGACAATGATGTTACCCAACACAGAAAACCATGTGTACTTAATTATACAGGTATTTCTGAAGCAAATATCCATTACTTTTCCAAAACTGTCTGCAAGGTTGTGTTGGAAAAAATAATAAATCCAGAGAGGTAATATGCAAACTCGTTAGCAGAAATTCGACACCAAAATGTATTCTCCGTGTGTCAGTGGAGGCAACCATCTCAGACCACAGTGTTTACTTTCAAACTTGGGACTGTGCCATGATCGAAACTCCTCCCCATTTGCTACCAATGCCTAGTTGTGACTCTTACTATATGAAACTAACAGGAAACAATAATGCAGCAGCTGCTGACCTTGTGGTGCTGTTTGACAATTGAGACCAGATTCAGATGGAAGATGAGTCTTCTCTCTAGGAGGCGAGAGGCTGACAGGACAGGCCGAGCCTCATTCTGGTCTGAGGAGGACAAAAACACACCGGTTAATAAATGAACACACAAAAAAGGTAGAGGACACATCATCATGAGCATCTATAAAAAGGTACTTGCCATTACACCCACAGTTTTTGTGTGTGTGTGTATACACATATATATACACACACATATATACATATATACACATATACACACACATATATACATATACATACATATACATACATACATATATATACATATACATACATACATATA